TATACACTAAATAATTCTTCTGCTACATAAATCTGACAAAAATGATTGTATTCAAGAAAGAACGCTCCTGTTTTTGGTCTGAGCTCGTTTCTGTAGAGGCCGAAGCGTGTATATTGTAGTTCTGTATTTAATGATTGATCTCATGCTTTTCTATCATATTGTTGAACAACAAATGCTGGTTACCATGGATCTTTGTCTCTATTATCTCGACTTATCCCATAGTGGAGTTGCTATCCTTTATGAAAATTGGATCTGAAGCTCAAAAAATGGAAGACTTCAGCAATAGATGTGGCTCATTTACTTGCAGTACGTGGGAAGTATGGAAATTCCACGACCTGGCACCCGAATCGAGATTGTCGCCGCCATGCGGCGAGTTAGGGTTAGCAATTCTTACACTTTATGTTGAAAGATCTGAGAAACCCAAAATTTCAGTACGAGTTCAAGGCGAGAGGCATTAAAAAGCGACCGGTGGATATTACGGTATCTGTGGATGGCGTCAAGGTTGTGTTGCAACGGAAAAAGGTGAGTGAGACGCTGAGAATAGAATAAAGTCTAAACAGTTTTCTCTAGCAGAAGCAGAAGGGCCTCTCGTGGGACGAGTCGAAACTGCTTGTTATGTTTCACCCCATTTATAGGTATGCACGTGTTGAATGCTTTTCGTAAATGAGGCAGAATTTCGGTTTCCTGTTACAGGATATTCTATGTGTCGCACGATTCTCAGGATCTTCAGATTTTCTCTTATATCGCTCGCGATGGTGCTAGCAATACTTTCAAGTGCAATGTGTTTAAATGTTCCAAAAAGGTGAGGTGAATGGTAATAGCATCATGTTTGAGCGCTTAGATTTCTACAGGCAGCCACAAAGCAAAATAAGTATTCTAATTGAAGATGCCTTTTACATTTTCGCAGATCGATTGCCTTCATGGAAAGCAATAGTCCTATTTTTTCATCTATCACATCGCATGCAAAATGTGGTTTTTGATTTTAGTAAAAGAATATATCGAAATATCTATGTGTCTCGCTTACTTTACTTTTACAGAATCAACTGTGTTAGAATATAATGATGATAGCTGTAATATTGATCCCCCAGAGATTTATCGATTTCGGCAACATCGTCGAGTGTCTGCGAGGCAAAAGTGTAGCATCAAAAAACCAAGTCGGTTTAAAAAAA